AAGGAAGGAAGGAAGGAAGGAAGGAAGGAAGGAAGGAAGGAAGGAAGCTCTCTTTGCAGATGACTTTATCTTCTCAATAGAAAATCCCAAGGTATCCATAAAAAAGTTTTTAGCAGTAATAAATGAGTTGAGCAAGGTTGATAGATACAAGATAAATGTACAAAAATCAAGTGTATGTTATACATTAAAAATGGGAAATAAACAAAGATAAAATTAATGAAGAATTCCATTTATTATAGCCATCAAAAGGAATAAATTATTTAAGGGAAAATTACTAAAACAAGTACACTATTTACATGCTGAAAATTACAAGACATCTTGAAAGAAACACAACCCACAAAACTGGAGAAAATATTTGCTAATCATATATCTTAAAAAAAATCCTATATCCAGAATATATAAAGAACTCCCACAATTCAACAATAAAAAGATAAATATCCTGACCTTAAAAATGGACTAAAGATTTGAGCAGAACTTTCTCCAAAGAAGACCTACATATGTCCAATACATACATGAACAGATGTTTGACATCATTAGTCATCAGTAAAATGAAAATGGAAATCCCCCTGGAGACCACTTAACTTGCACTAGGGTAGCTCAAATCTCATTAATGGATCGATCCATGGATGGATTCATGGTTTAATGGTCCCCTGACACGTGGTGAGAACTTAGGGGGTGGGGCCGACTTGAAGGAGCTGGGTCTTCCAAAGGCACCTGAAGGCTGTACCTTGTCCCCTGTCCCTCCTTTCTCTTGCTCCCTGGCTCTCTCTTTGCCTCTGGGCGAGAGCTTTGAGCCCCCATGTGATGGGGCCAAGTGAGGAGGAATTGAAATCTCTGAAACCAGGAGATATCGATTTCTAAAGAACAACCATGATCTGCAGAGCGTTAGCTGCACTTGATCTGTCGTCTTCTCTGGCGTGGGGTTGAGATGCGCTCAGGAAAATCAGACCACAACCCAAGCCACCGTCCATTTAAATGTCCTTGTTTTTATTTTCAGTTAAAGAAGGGTGACGAATCCAGGTCACAATAAATGAACACAATGAGCAAAAATGACACAGGAATAAGTGATTCCCCTCACCAGCAGGGAGAGAAGGGGAGGGGAATCCTGGCTCCAAGAACTGGGAACGCTGAGGACTCCTGCGCAGCTTGGGAGACCCTCACCTGCCCATCTCCACCCCTCGCAATGTGGGAAACAATGTACCAAATCCTCCCGCTTCTAGCAAATACTTCCCTATTTGGAAAGAAGTGAGAAGAAGGGGGGGGGGGGGGGGGAAGAGGGGGGGGGGGGGGGGGGGGTGAGGGGGGGAGGAGGAGGAGGAGGAGGAGGAGAAACCAAAGAGAACTCCCCCAAACAGAAGCGCCTGCAATGCTAACCTCTGGGACCCTGGCACCACAGGAAGAACGCCTGCAGTGTTCTCCACAATGTAGGTCTCCATAGGCTGGAGCAGGTCGGGGAGGACAGGGCAGGTGGAGGAAGCACGCTTGTCTCACAGAACCAGGCTGATCCAGCAGCAGGGGGAGCTGGTCCCAGGGGCTCTCCTTGTTCCGCCCTCCTGGAGCCCTGCACAGTGAACGCACTGAGCACCGCGCTTCAAGGTGAGATGCCCAGCAGGACAAGCACCCGCAGCACCAAGCTATAGCAAAGGCCCCTGTGATGTTCTGTTATGGAAATTTAATCAATATTTACATCTGAAGTTTTTCTCAAAGGTTAAGATTCTTGTCTACTTCCTTTTCTTTCCTCCCAAAGACCTTCAGACTAAATAGGACACTTAATCACATACTGGGGACTTCAAACCTTCAATCTGATGCCAGAGAAGCAGAACAGTTAAATCAACTCTTCTCTACCCAGGTTTGTACAAATCGTTTTATCTGACTTTTACAAATACAGAACATTTTTAAAAATACAGAAAGCCATGATAATCAGTCTTAAAGATACCTAGGCATCCACCACTGAGATTAATCAAATGTTAAACCATTCAGCTATGTTTTATGCTACCTTTCTTTTGGGGGAAAAAAAAAACACTAAAATTTCCCCTAGGAACTCAAGAAATAAAATAAATACATAAATAAATAAAAAAAAAGAAAATAGAAAGGAAAGGAGGGAGAGGAAAGGAAGAGAGGGAGGGAGGGAGGGAGGGAGGAAGTTGATCCCACTCTGGATGGTAGATCTGTTAATAATGTGTTAGTGGTAGAAACTAAATGCTGGATGTATGGGTATTCACTCTAAAAGTCTTTGTGTAATATTGAAACATTTTATTATAAAATGTTAGGGCAAAAATATGTTTTAAAAAATACGCTTGACAAGTACATTTCAAACCAACCCATCACCCCCCACCCATCCTCAGATACCCTGCCGCAGATGTACACATACCTCCTTACACACATGTACATATCCATAAACTATATGTACAGTTGCTTATGTATTTTCAAAACATGCGGTGAAAAGTAAATACTCATACTCATTTCCAATTTCTTCAAGATTTATCCTGGTCATACACATATACTGATGGATTCTTTAAGCACTATGTCCACCATGTAAAAAATAAAACGTCTGTTGACTTGTTCTCAGACCAGGGTACCCAGGCCACTGGACTTCCTCCCCTTACCTCCTCTTAGAGACCTGTCCCGGCTGCAGCAGGCTGAACCTTCTATATCAACTTGGGAGAAGGTGGGCTTTTCACATTGGCTCCCCAATGAAGGTCTTAAAGGGAATTTTCCAGGGAATAAGGAAAGAGATTAAAAGTCTCTTTCCAGAGAGGTCAAGAGGAAAAGGGAGATTAAGTGGGCCTTCATAATAGTGGACTGAAGACAGACACTGACCTATGGCTACAGCCCAGAGTGTAGTTTTGCATTTAGGAGAAACTGTGAACGCACCATTATAAATTTTCGTTATGCATGTTGATCAAGGACGGGGTGAAGGGCAGAATACTGAATGACCCATATGCCTTGTATTATGGCTTTTAATGCTTTATGCTGCATGGAAGATTCTTCTGTCCCAAAGAAGCACAGGAGTAGATGCTGACCACCATTTATAGTGAGCTCAATATCTCATAAGTGCTGTTGACAATCACTGTTTCACCCAACACTGAAGCCAAACTCTCTATTTTACAGGTGAAGCTCCTAGACTCAGAGAATTTAAGGAACTTGCCCAAGGCCACACAGCAGACAAAGGACTCCAAAGGCCACAAAGGACAATAAAGCAGATGGGGAGCTGGCAGCCAGTAGGTGCTCCTTGCAGCAGGATGCTGGCTAATTGTAATAGCAAGGACAATGGGACGTTTAGGATCTGTGATAGCACAGACCTAAGGAGGTGACATATGGAAAAATCACATGGTCGCACAAGAAACAGAACAAAATATCACAATGAAGTTGCTTTTTGGTAACCTTGGTTACTATCACTATAGTTTCAAGAAAATATTTTCTACACATTCGAAGCATCACCCATATGTTGCCTTCCATCTGTGGCTTCCCGTGCCCGAGCCCAGCATGAGCAGGTGTCTCTGAGCCCAGGAAGCCCTGGGATGAACTGGGTGTGACCAGAGTATGGCTTGGGGACGTCGTTTTCAAAGAAAATGTCATAAAACAGAGAGAGGGGCTTCAGCAAGTGGCGGGCAGCACTACTCACCGGTCCTGGAGAGCAGGAATCTTGGAAGGACACTGCAGGTACTGCTTAAACCGCAGCTCAAAGGCTTGGCCAATGGAGCCAATGACGTCTTGGGCCAGTCCGTCACAGCATTCCAGAATGTGACAAGCTGAGAGAGAAGGGGACACAGGCAATTAGAGACAGATGCGGGAGCTCCCCAGCTCCTCAACCAAGAGCTTCTTCTTGGGGTCAGAGAGAAAAGGAGGTGTCTTCTTGCTTCAGAATCCATCTCAGCAGAACTGACTACACCATCATCTCTGGAAATCCCACAGCTATGGTGGAAGGCATTCATTTTTTTTTTTAAGAACCCGCTGTCTGCAAAATTATAGATTCTATTTTTAAAGAAAGGACTTTTAAGTCCAAATTGGTGGTGCTTCAATATCTTTAGAGTCTTCAAACCATCAATCCTAACCTTGTTAGGGAAACAGCATTTGGAAGGAGACCTCAGCACAGCCTAGAGCCTGATCTTGCACCAACGGAGTCCCATTAAGTCCCCGTGGGCTTTAAGCAGTGGATTTAAACTGAGAGCTGTTAAATGAACCTTCCTCTACTCAACAGACTTGGAGACAGTGGTCTGGTGACTTTTCAGTGGGAGTACAATGTAGACCACAAAAGGCAGTCGCTGGAAATAGTAAGAAGCACAACCTCTTAGAATGGTGGTAAAGAGGTATTAGCCAGTGTGCCCGTCCCCGTAATGTGCAAGCCACGTCCTACACAAAACTGGGACTGGATTTTCAGGCAGATTCTCAGGAAGGCAGCTTGAGAGGAAGAAGGGATAAAAGTTAGGGAGCTGGTGGACCAGAACAGTGCCCAGAGGCGGGGGGAACGGCCTGAGAGGGCTTTCAAGGGTTCGAGGGCAGGTACCAGCAGGACCGCCTCCGCACCAGGACAGTGTGTCCTGATGTGAGACCTCCAGACACTGCGGGCCTGTCACCAGGAGCAACGTGCTAAACAAAATGACCAAGACCATTGTTTGCCCTGAGCTCCTGCCTGTGTCCCAACAGACCAGACTAGACCAACATAGAGTCCCTCCTGACAACTGCCCCATTACCATACGGAAACTTGAAGGAAGCGGACAGATCCCGAAATAGACCAATTTCTCCAGAAAACAGGAGCCAGTATAATAAGAAATGCCCTCTGCTTTAGCCCTTACCTCCCCACCACCCCAAAAAAGTTAAAAATAAGTAACCTGATCTTGACCAATCAGGCTATTTTTTTTAAGTGTTCTGTCTCCTTGTTCCCACTTTACAAAACCCACTGTTCTGCTTGGCCCTGTGGGAGCTCTCTATTTTTAGAAGGAGAATTCCCCAATTCATGAATCACAAATAAAGGAGATCTATGACTAAATGTGTTATAATTTTGCCTTTTGACAAGCACAACACACAGTCTTGCTACAAATGGGATAAAGGAATTCTCCTGGGGAAAAATGACAGATGCCTATCAACGCTCCGTCTCTCTCTTGCCAACAGCCACCACGTATTGCCAAGGAGGCTTCCTCCCTCCAGAAGCCCATGGAACCGCCAGCAAGGCGCTTGGTAGTTATTCCCAAGGGGTGGCAGTGACTAAGGAGACATGGAACTGCACCCACCTTGCAAGAGAAACCAGGACATGCCAGAAAGAGGCCTCATGTAGACAGGAAGGGGGCAGAGACCCCCACCACCTCCACGCTCATCTGCCCAGAGCCAGCTAGATACTGGCAGTTCACCCACAAGACAGCCCCGGACCCTCAGTCTGCTAATCCCCCAGACTATAGGTGGACCCAGGGAACAGTATTTGGAGGGAAGAATGCGGGCGAGCACACCATTGCTTTGGATCGCAGTGTAACCCATCAGATAGATAGAGCAGTCCTATTTTAGTGACAGGCAAAGAATTCATGTACAAAGGTGTGGGTGTCCTAGATACCGTTTATATGTTGATTCGTGATATTATTGGATTTTATTGTGGGTATTATTATTAAGCATAGTCCTGGATAGTCACATAGCAAGCCCGTATTAAGCAAGGATCACGATGGCACAAGTCACCGATGAATACAAATGGAAGCCTCATGCTCAAGCTCAAAAGGAAGTGGAGGGTCAGACTTGAAGAAGCAAAATCCAGCATGACATGGTTCCCCCCCAACCTATCTGCGGGCTTCCAGCCACACTTACTGGCCCCTACGGTTCCGCATCAGCACCAGCCAACGGAATTGTCTGGAACTTTGGAGAACCTTAGAGTAAGAGGGGAAAAGGTCAGAAAGTAGAGTCTTTTTTCTTTTTTTAAAGGAGAGAAGCCACAGCTAACATTTGAAATGGAGAAGAGAAAAGGAGGTTTGTTCAGGGCAGTTCACTTACATCTCACCTCGACTAAACTCCAATACACATGAAGGCTATAAAGGGTGTGCTGTCACGTAAGGCCAGGCAGCTTGGAGCAGTGCAAGGGCCTAGCAGGGTGAGGACCAGGCCCTACCAGTCTAAGTGACAGAGGGTGGCACAGCCTACAGATAGCGAGCTGGCACAGGAGCTCACTATCACTATCAGTATTCATAGGAATTAAATCAGGACTCGGTCCTGGGACCTGGCATGGCCCCCAATAAATGGAGAAAACAATATCATCCACTGCTTGGTCTGAGGATTCCTTTTGTAAAAGTGGCCTTTATGTATCCCAGAAGCTCACTCCACACCCCAAATGAACCCCGGATGTCATCTTGGGAGCCTGGTATCTTCTCTGAGAGCTTTGCCGGTCTTTAGCCAGAAGCCACATCCAAGAGGATCTGGCATGAACATCAAAAGATGAGTCCCCCCAAAAGGTGGCCATCAGACCTGGGTAGCAGTGTTGGGCTTCACGTGTCCACGAGGACATGGCAGCCAAAGGCACAGTTCCCAAGCAAGGAGGATGATGAGAGAGACCCGGAGCAATGTGCTCAGAATGAAGAGGTGAAATGATGGAGAAGGGAGAAACATGGGTCAGAGGACCAGCAAGATGGAAGCATGGTCCACTCCGTCACTTCTGGGGAACCTGGTCCTTTTGATGGCATTGACAGCCAGCAGGAGTATCATTTTCTTACTGGTGGAGTTCACTGGCCAACATGAGTCTCTTTTTGACTACTGTGAATGTCAATGGTTAGAAAATTTATCTTTCCATCTTTGAGACACTTTTTAAAACGATTTTTAATTTGGAGGAGTTGATTTCTTATCTTTTCTGATTAGATGATCATTTTTACTTTGAAATTGACACCTACAAAGTGTCCAAACGGGAAGTCAATCTTACCAGCTTTACTATTTCTTTCCTGTTTGCCTAAGTTCTTATTGTCATTATAACCCTTGACTTATGGTTTCTCTCTGAGAAGTTTAGTTCAGTTAAAAAAAAAAAATAGTTAATAGTTTGATATAATCCCATTTGCCAGATCTGATTTTTGTTAACTAAGCTTTTGAGTTCTGACCCCCAAAAATCCTTGCCCAGACCAACGTCATGAAACATTCTCCCTATTTTCTTCTAAAAGTTTCATAGTTTGGGGTCTTACGATTATGTCTTTAATCCATTTTAGTTGACTTTTATATATGGAGAGAGACAGCATCTAGGTGTATTCTTCTGCGTGTAGATACCCAGATTTTCCAATGACAAATTTTGAATACACTATCCTTTCCCCAGCGGATGTTTTTGGCACCTTTATGGACAATCCGCTGGCTGTGAATGCATGGATTTATTTCTGGGATTTCTACTCTGTTCCATGGGTCTATGTGTGTGTTTTATGCTCAAACTCTTGCTTTCTTAGTGCAACTTTGCAGCATAATTTGAAGACAGGTAGTGGGCTGCTTTGTTCCTTTTGCTCAAGATTGCTTTGGTCATTCAGGATCTTTTGTGATTCCATATAAATTTTAGGATTGCTCTTTTTTACTTCTGTGAATTTCATTGGTATTTTGATAGGGATGTCATGGAATCTATAGACTTGATTTTTAAACAGCTGATCTCATGGGAGTAGAGAGTAGAATGGTACATATCACAAGACGGAAGTGGGTGTTCAGGAGAGAAGGGATGGAGAGATGTTGGGTGAAGGATATATAATTACAGTGAGAAAGGAGAATAAATTTCCAGAGACCAATTGTACAGCAAGATGACTATAGTTAATAACAAAATATTGTATTATTGAAAATGTAAAAAAGAAAATGGTTGCTATTAAAAAAGTAAAACTATGTGAGGGTAATGCATTGGTTAATTAGTTAGATTTAACCATTCCGTAATAAATATCTATAGTCTTCCCTTAAAATATGTGGGGAATTGATTCCAGGCTCTCCTGAGGATACTAAAATCTGAGGATGTCAATTCCCCCATACAAAATGGCATATATTTGCACACAACCTACACACATTCTCCCTATGCTCGAAATCACTTTGAGATGACTTAAAGTAGCTAATACAATGTAAATGCTATGCAAATAGTTGTTATATTCTATTTTTATGTGTACTATTTTTACTGTTGTATTGTTATTCTAAATATTTTCGATCTGCAAATCCAAAGATGTGGAGTCCATGGATACAGAAGGCCCTAGCGGACTTCAGTGTCAGGGTACAACAGGATAGAATCACACAGTGTTATCCACTGATTTAAAAAGTCAGAACAAAAAGGTTTTCAACCTAGTTCATGCGAGGTTGGAGTCCATTTCCTGAAGCCACTTAATTCGAGTTCTTCAGCCTGACAGGGGGCAGCAGTGTCTGTGAGAGCACCTTAGTTAAGAGCCCTCCGTCTCTCTCTGCGCCCTGCATGCCATGCCCTGAGCTGCTTTCCTCCTCTCATGATGCTCTACTTCACCTGGGACCCAGAACAATGGATTCAGCCAACCATGGACTAAACCTCTGAATCCATGAGCCAAAATAAACTTTCCTCCTCTAAGTTGTTCTTGTCAGGACTTTTGGTCCCAGCACTGAAAAGCTGACTAAAATATCCTGCTAAACAGTAGTGACTATCTCTTCCTTTCATTGGGCTGATGGCTCCCCACTTACCTAGAGCATGCTCACCAGAGCAAAGGAGATTCCTCAAACTCTGGCAGGTTTATCAGCCAACCATAGCCTGTTCATTTTATGTATTCATACGCTGCTCATTGTTCAAAGTTTTTGATCCAAGATAGGTAATGAA